TAATTGAATAATTAAAATGATGAAATATTCAGAACCAAATAGTTTTAACAATGCTCATAAGCTGGATAAATAGAAATGGCTGTAATATTGTGTAATTTGTGAATTGGAGCTTATCATTTGAAGCCTTACATAATTGAAATGTTCATCCCTCCTTCTTCCTTTCCAAGACAGGGTCTTGCTGTGTTGTCATTGCTGATCCACAAGTTGTGATCCTTCTACTTCAGTGGTAAGATTACAGGTGTGTAGCACTATGCCTTGCCTCACTTCCTTTTAGTTAGGAAAAAATCTCACTCAAATCCTTTAACAAACCTGCTCTTTTTTTTTGTTGTTGTTGTTGTTTGTTTGTTTTTAAGGAATCCACAGCTTTTCATTTTATGTGGAAACAAAAATAGAAATCCTTTTCCCCAGTAACTTGTCCTTGAACTTAAATTTTGGAGTCAAAGCATTTTTTTATTTAATTTATTATTTTACATGTGGATCCCAATTCCCTCTCCCTCCCTCCCTCCCTCCCTTCACCCCTTCCTCTCTCCTTCCTTCCCTTTTACCCTCTCTGCCCTCTCACATACACTCTAACCACCCTCCCCTCCCATCCCCCCACACCAATTCCATATGTAGGGGAATGCCATCTAGTTGGGGTCATGTAGATCTGACAGGTCATGTGAAGTAGGGACTAGGGCTTCTCTCCTGTCTCTAGATTAAGGCAGTTATCCCTCCATAGGGGATGTGTTTGCAAGGACCTTTTGTGCACCAGGGATACATCCTGGCTCCACTGTCTGAGGTCCCTTAGACTGCTCAGTCTTCTGGCTGAGACCCATATTCAGGGGGGCCTGAGTCAGTCCCATGCTGGCTTCCCAGCTATCAGTCTGGTGGCCCATTAGCTCCTCCTTGTTCAGGTAAGCTGTCTCTATGTGTTTCTGCTTGGCCGGCCTTGTCCTCTCCATCTGCATCTGGGTTCTACTTCCACTCAGTGTTCTAAGAGATTCATATAAAGTCCCTCACAGAACCGGGAAGGGACAAGTCCCCAAGAGCACAGAGGAAGTGGCGGGGGCAGCGAATGGAGAGAGAAAACGAGGAGGAGGAAAGGAATATATGTGCAATCAGGAAGATTGAGCACGATTAGAAGACAGGAAAGAGAGAGAGAGAGAGAGAGAGAGAGAGAGAGAGAGAGAGAGAGAGAGAGAGAGAGAGAGAAGAGAGAGAGAGAGAGAACATAAAATAGGGAGCCAATATTGGTTTGAAAATAAAATTGAACACAAAGAAAGGTCTAGAGAACTACAAGACTGCTGCCAAAGAACAATTTGAGCTTCCATGGAAAGGCTACCATAAATGCCCTTTCCGGAGAGTGAGATCAACAACTAAGTTATCCATGGAGCCCTCAACTAATGTCTCTTGGAAACAGAAGCAAACACCCAAACAAACCTGCTCTTAAAGTCCACTCCAGTAGTGCTATTGAGGAGACAATTAGCCACATGCTTTATCTCCTGGTCACAGCAGGAGTGATACCCAGACCTAGTAAGATAAATTTAAAACCTCTTCTAGGAACCTGAGTATGAACTTTGTGGATGGTTTTTAGTCTCTCAATGCACAGAGATAAAAGGAGACAGAGAATCATTGAAGGAATATGAAAGTGTCCTGTTAAAATTCAAATTATAGAAATAAATGGTTTTGCATAGCAAAATAATTTGAAAGGTCAACTTTTAACTATTAACAGTGACTATTTTCAATTTGCTGCAAATAACTGGGTTAACCCCAGGTTTGTGGTTCTGAAGTATATGATAAAATAGGCTGGGCAAACTATGAGTTGCTAGCCAGGAAGCAGTGTCCTCAGGGCTTCTGTTTTGTTTGTTTGTTTTGTTTTGTTTTGCTGACTCCAGTTACTACCTTGGTGTTCCATGATGATATAAGCCAAACCCTTTTCTCTCTAAGTTATCCGTTATTATATATTTAATCACAGCAAAAAGATGCATAAATAAGACATTAGGTAAGAACTGTAAGTAAAAGAAAAACAGAAGAACCTATTCAAAAAGTAAACACTCTTCTTTTGGAGTTTGAGGAAGTGAGGAATAAAAATCAAGTATTCGTCCAATATTGATGATTTTTTTTCCCATCAAGATAAGAAGAAATAAGAAAGTATGGTATACTTGAGAAAATTTTAAGTATTTGAAGCAAGTGACACTTTGAAGACGTGCACTTATAACCACATAATAGGTTTATTAATAGAAGCACTATAAACTTATTAAAGTTCCTAGTTGGGTTAGAACCTGGCAATTATAAATAATACTTATTTGGAATTTTGACTCTACAATTTAATCTGACATATTTCCATTGTATTTCTTGCTTATTCAACCAGGAATAATTATCTGACAAAAATAATGAAAAGAAATCTTACATACTTCCATAGGTAACAGTAGCTAAAACATTATAATATCAATGATCATTGACCAATGTATAAGTACTTAGACTTTATCAATTCATAGCATCAAGTATTTGAGTATCATTATTTTCACTCCAAATAACAGACAAAATAAGAGGGTATGGGAGGTAAAATGACTTATACAGGGTCTTGTGATTAACTGGTTACATATGACAATTGCATTAAGATGTTGTATCTTCAAGGCACTACCATAACAAAATATTTATCTTATTCTATGTTTAATAAGGCAATGATGATTTGAAATGAATGGAGCCTATATTTATCTTAGAAATACTGAACATTTACTTCTTCCTCACATTTTTGTTTTGTATTTTCAACACTGTGTGTGTGTGTGTGTGTGTGTGTGTGTGTGTGTGTATGAGTGAGTGTTCCCATGTTCACATATTTATGCATCACACAGGCCAAGGGAGCAATCCTGGTGTCCTCCTCTGTGCCTCTTTTCCTGATTCTGTTCAGATAGGGATTCTCAATGATCCTGGAAATCACTGTTCTAGCTTACAGTGATCTCCACTATGCCTCTGGCCCCTGCTATCAGAACCCCCATGCCTGGATTTTTAGGTAGGTGCTGGAAATCCAAACTCAGATTCTAGCACTTGTGCAAAAATCACTCTTCCCCCATGAGCCATGTCTCCATGCTCTTTCACTCTTAATGACTTTACACTTTCTATCACAATTTGTCCAGGTGAAGTACAGCTTGATTTTGTAGGATCAGAGTGTCATACCATGTTACACTAGGCTTAGACTTTTTTGTCTACCACTATTTTTTTTTTAGCATAGATGAGTTCCAGGATCTGGGCATGGGTCTTCTGAGGTTAAACAGCCTGTCTAGCTGAGATGGCAATTCAGAGTTGACCATGAACAGGATGCAAACAGCTGAATCAGCTCAGAGCCTTGCTCGACACAAAAAACAAAGGTCAGCAGAGGAAAGCAGAACCAACAGACTGGTGAGTGTGAGAGGGGAAAAGAGAGAAGCTCAGCCAGGGCATGGCTAGCTGTCCTTGGGGCTCTTCTCTTTCAGGTTCAGTTCACTTCCTTTTATTTTGTGGGAAGTTTTAGGCCTGTGCTGCAAATCTCCTTCTAGAAGGATTTTGTTTCTGTGAGATTATCTACTCAAGAAAAACACATTTAGCATTCTAAATTTAGTAGATCTTGCAGGAAGTTTTTATTTGAACATTACAAGCAAACAGCAGTGACATGAGAAAATCAAACACAAACCTGTGGTTTTATTGTTTTTTTTTAAAAAAAAATTTACTAAATATTTTCAGGTTGCGATTTAACTATGGTAGGTTTATTTTACATAATAACATATACTGTAATCCACGCACTAAAAGTAACTGCTTTGTTGAATCATGAATATTGATGATGGCTTTGTTAAATCATGATTAGAGACTATTTGTGCAGTAGCTTTGTAGTTCTCAATGCCTCTCCTGCCTCTTTGCCGCATGAACATCCATAAAAATTTGACAATTTACATAGCTTAAAGCAATAGTAATTTGTTTCTCATAGTTATACATGCTAGAAGTTTAAAATCTCCCTGAAGTATGTTTTTCTCTTAGTGTCTGATAATGATGACAATCCTTTACTTTTTTAGTTTGGAAAACAGATTGTTTCATATCTGTCTCTGTGGTCACATGGTTCCCCTAACCAATGTCACAGTCTATGTGTATTTATATCTTGTGAGGAAAATTGTCACATTTGGTTTTGGACCTACCTTTCAATATAAGTCCATCCAAACTTAGTAACATCTGCAGAGCATTCTTTTTTTACATAAGATCTCATTCATGGGTAGAGAACATTAGAACTTTAGTTATCTTTTTAACTGGACTCAATTCATTCCTTCATGCCCATCAAGTAAGGCAGTCAGATGAAACAGATGGTGTAAAAGGAACCTAAGTTTTTGTATCACTTCAGTGTCATTTGTGATATAATTATCAAATGTACTATGAGATTATAGTCAAAACTATGCAACATTGATAGATTTCAAATGATCTTTATATCTGTTATGGTAAGCAAACAGATTGTCATATTTTCTTAGACATTCTGGTTACTTTTTGTCAACTTGATTTAAACCTAGATGTATCTTGCTTGCAGTAGGGAGTCTCAATTGAGAAAATGTCTTCAGTATATAGGCTAGTGGGAAAGTCTGTAGGACATTTTCTTGATGAAGGATTGACAAACCCACTGTGGGTATCATCAGCCCAGGGCAGATGGTTTTGACTGGTTTAAGAAAGCAAACTGAGCAAAATATGAAGTTCAAGTGTGTAAGCAGTATTTTTTTTTTCATTGTTTCTGCCTCTTGGTCTTGCTTTGGCTTTAGCTGATGATAGATTATAACCAGTAAAACAAATAAACAATTTCCTCTTCAAGTTACTTTCTTGGTCATGATGTTTAATCACAGCAATGAAAACTTTACTAAGACACTAGGTAACAATTATATTTCACAGAAAAACAGAAGGACAGATTCAAAAAACAAATACATTTCCAACTTCACAAGATGATACATGAAAAGTAAGTATAAATACTATTGTTGATATTATTTCCATCCATATAAAAGGAAACAATAATTATACTTACCTGGAAGGAGAGATACTGTAATCACAAAGATGCTTTTTACATGCCAAGGCTAACTATTTTACACTCCAGATATGCTGACCTCTGCTATTTCCCCAAATGCAGGAAATTTGACTGTGTAATTTGTGGTTGTAGAGGACTGCATTCATGCTCTCCCCGTTAAAAAAGAGATTTATGTTATTTGGGACTTGTGAATATAGAAAATCTCACTGGCAATCAGGGTAATCAACACTGTCACTGTCTGTTCAGTGAATGAGGCTGCCCAATGTTTTACTGTCTTATCAGATTCATCTGTCTCAACAGGGAGCAAAGGTTGTCTTTAAGAATGGTCAGTAGTTATAATACAGCTTGCTATGAAGCTAAGAAATGCCAAGAAAAGAAACAAGAAGGAAGTTACTATAACCATGGAAACAGAAATGAAAGACATGCAGCAGATTAATTTTGGAACAAGAGTTGAGAAGGATGTCAAGGACTGGTAACAAAATAATGCAACACTTACCTGGAGAGGAGACAGCAGCCAAACATGCACCATGGATTGTTAGGTCTGCAGAGATTTGATCATATGTTTGAATTCCAGGGCCAGGAGCTAAAAAAAAAAAAAAAAAAAAAAAAAAAAAAAAAAAAAGAATAAGATTAAGAAAGAGATGAAAATTAAACTGAAATCCTAGAATAATATTTGCCTTGGAATAAATGCAACTAGGGAATAATGAAGAATTTGCATAAATAGAGATAAAGCCCTACACACCTAATTAGATACAGTGGAATATGAAAATTTAAAAATAGCATGTTAGGGTCAGAACAACACTCCCTGTATCAATGGGGAACATGGTGAATGGATGTGATCAAACATATCTCTTTAGGAAATGCTTATAAACAAATGATATATATTAAATAAAATAATAGATATAGAATATATAGTATACTAACTAGAAAAACAAGTGAAACAAATGTAAGGAAAAAAAAGAGACCCAGGCAAAAAAGAGACCCAGTCTAAGTAAATAAGCTGAATTCCTAGAAGAAAATGCTAGAAAGAATATTAAGATTTTTAGAACATTTTCTTCAGACTGAATCTGAGAATAATCTGATTCACTCATAGTCAAATCTAAGTCAAACCTTGTGAATCTTTCTCAACCATGTGTCATCATAAGGGAGCAAAAATTACATTCTAAGTAAGACAAAGGAACTCCTCTGTCATTTTAACCAGAGAAGGCAATGGCAAAAATTTTAAAGCAGGCACACACCTTTAATCCCAGCATTTGGGGGGGGGGGGCGGGCAGAGGCAGGTGGATCTCTGTGAGTTCAAGGCCAGCCTAGTCTATAGAGCAAGTTCCAGGACTGGCTTCAAAACAATACAGAGAAACCTTGTCTCGAAAAACCAAAAAAAAAAAAAAAAAAAAAAAAAAAGAAAGAAAGAAAGACAAAATATCTATTAAGCAGCATTTTCACAGGCATACTCACAGAATATACTAATTCTTGGTTTCCCCCCTTAAAACAAGGAAAAGTATAAATATGGTGATACAAACTCATTAAGAAATGAGTTGAGGGAGGCAGAGGAAGCTCAACAGGTTAGAAGTACTTCTTGCTCCTGTGGAGGAATTGGGTTCAATTTTAAGCACTCTCTTTGTGGCTGATATCCATCTTTAACCTCAGTACTAGATAATCCAATGCCCTCTTCTGACCTCTGAGGGCACTGTTTACACATAGTGTCTAGTCATACATGCAGGCAAAGACAGCAAACACACAAAGTACAAATACATCTTTAAAACAAATATATGCGTGAACGGCCAAGCCACACTAAGTACAGAGCTCTAGTGTAGCCGAGAGAAAAGATGTATGTCAATGCCCTAATATTTTATTCTGCCATTATTATGAGAAGCAATATCAACTAACTTCTACAGTTTATATCCTTACACCCATGATTAGGAGCAGTGCTGTTAAACGATATGTTTTGGAGTATAACTAGGGGTCAGTGTTGTGATGAAACTGTAGTAAAATAGTTCATGCGAAATGTACATTTTTCTGGAAGAAATATTAAAGGTATATTATGCATCTTAAATGAGGTAATTATTTGAAGTGTTTTTTCCACAATGCTTTTCATAAATCTTAGGTGGTACATATATTTACAATACTCATATAATCTTCAAGTTTGATTTACTGAAATTGCCATATCAGTTTTACCCTCAACTACTGCACAAGGACTTGAAGTATACAATTTATAGCCAACACTGGGTGATAACATTTGTCTACTAGGTAGCTTACAATTATTTTATCAATATTTTATTATGATTTTGTTATTATGAGGTAAGTATGAGTATGTCTAGATGGTTATTCTTAGAAATCCTATTTATCATTTTTGTAATTCTAATTTGTATGTAATTACATATAATTTTGTTGTATATTTTGAAGAGAGTTTTGGGATATATTTTAGATAACAATCTAATAACTTCTACATGTTTGGAAAATTCAATTTAAAATGTGTTATCTCTATTTAACTTTTTATTAAATATAATTGCTATTTTATGAAATCACATATTTATTTCATGGCACAGCTATAGCTGACAGGAACAGCAAAAGACATAAATCCAGAAGAGCTAGCTACTTGACCAACATCCAGCAAAGCTGAGCTGCATGACAGATATCATGTCACTTTAGGTTTTGATTTCCACATGCTGTATGCTTGTGGGGAGAGGACTTTTGATATTTGCACAATTTGGGGGGATATTAGATTGATGGAAAGTTCATTTTTTATTTATTCTTTAAAGCTTTATTTCATATTCCAACCATAATTCTTCTTCCTACTCCCCTTGCCTCCCCATCAACCCACTCCCAGTCCCCTCCTTCTCACAGGTAAGGGCTCTCATGAGGAGTTAACAAGGTCTGCAACAATACATTGAATAGCACCAAGCCCCTCGCCCATGCATTAAGGCATTCCAGAGGGAATGAGCTCCAACAAGGCAGCTCATATACCAGGTTTGTATGGTGGTCCAATTGCCAGAAGTCCTGAAGATAGTACAAGCATCACAACTGTCTCCCACACATGGAAAACCTAGTTTGATCCCCTGTAGTCTCAGCAGCTGTTAGTCTAGAGTTCATGTGTTTCCAAAGGCTTGGTTCAGCTGTCTCTGTAGATTTCTCCATCATAATCTTGATCTCCTTTGCTCTTATATTCCCACATCTTTCTCTTCGACAGGATTCCTAGAATTCAGCCAGTGCTTGGTTGTGGATCTCTGCATCAGGTTCCATCAATTACTGGATGAAGACTCTATGAAGACAATTGGGATATTCATCAATCTGATTATAGGTGTAGGCCAGTTGTGGTACCCTCTCTACTATTGCTAGGAGTCTTAGCTAGGATTATTTTTTGTGGATTCTTGGGAATTACCTAGTGCCAGATTCCTCCCTAATCCTATAGTGATTCTCCCTATAAATATATCTCTTTCATTGCTCTTCCATTGTATCCTTCCCCCATCAATCTTCCAATTCCCTCATTTTCTCATCCCTCTCCACTGTCCCTTACCACCCCTGGTGCCCAGTTTAACCCATAGTCCCATCTAATTTCCCTTTCCAGGGTGATCCATGTGTGTCTCTTAGGGTCTTCCTTGTTATCCAGCTTCTCTGGAGTTGTGGATAGAAGTTTGGTTATCCTTTGCTTTACTTGTAATATCCACTTATGAGTGAATACATAACATGTTTGTCTTTCTGAGTCTGCTTAGTTCACTCAGGATGGCCTATTTTAGTCCCAACCATTTGCCTGCCAATTTCATTAGGTTTCATTATATTTTTATACCTAATTAGTATTGCATTGTGTAGATGTACCTCATTTTCCCTACCCAGTCTTCAGTTGAAGGGCATCTAGGTTATTTACAGGTCTACTTATTATGAGTAAGTCTGCTTTGAACATTATTGAGCAAATATCCTGGTAGTATGATTAAGCATCCTTTGAGTATATGCCCAAGAGTGGAATTGCTGAGTCCCTAGGAAGACTGATTTCCAATTTTCTTAGAAATCACCATACTGATTTTTAAAGTGCATGTACAAATTTGCATTCCCACCATCCCTTATTCCACATCCTCTCCAATATAAGATGTCCTTAGTACTTTTCATTTTAGCCATTCTGTCAGGTGTAAGATGATATCTCACAGTCATTTTGATTTACATTTCCCTGATAGTTAAGGGTGTTGAACACTCCTTAATTGTCTTTTGGTCATTTGACATTCTTCTGGTAAGAATTCTTTGTTTATCTCTGAACCTAATTTTTCAACTGGATTATTATTTTAATTTCTGGTTTCTAGAATTATTCTTTTTATGATAATATTTTTTTATTTAAATTTGAAACAAACTTGTTTTACATGCCAATCCCAGTTCCCTCCCTTGTTACCCCCAACCCCTTTTTGATCCAATTTCTGCTACTCAAGGCGGGGTGAGGCCTTCTGTATGGGATCTTCAAAGTATGTCATATTTAATGGAGCAGGGCCTAGGCCTGTCTAAGCTGAGAGAGTATTCTTCTATGTGGAATGGGCTCCTAAAGTCCATTCATAATAGGGATAAATACTGATCCACTACCAGAGGACTCATAGACTGCCAAGTCCTCCTACCTAACACTCAAATTCAGGGGGGCTGGGTCAGTCCTATCCTTTGGCCTGAAGATTTTTTGGGGGGAGAAACTCTGACCATTAAGAGTTAATAATACACTGCTTGGGATATCCCAAAGTGCCTGGGATGGTTTGGAGATTTTTTTTCATGTCTGTCTAGCATCCTTGAAGTCACAAGAGCTACCACCCAGAGAACAGGCTATCACATGACTCCTGATTCTTAAAAAGTGGGTTATGGGGGGGATGAATAAAAATTATTATAAATGATAACTTTATCATTATAAATGATAACTAAATGTGAGAAAAAAATGATTGTAAAACGTAACTCTGTTCTGGCACAGATTACCAAGGATGACTAAACTTATGCCTTCAGATGTTCACGGAAAAGAAAAAGTTAAACACATGTCCAGAAACCAAAAATGATATGTTCTTTGTTTTGGAACAACATAAATCTACCACTGTTTTTTGAATTCTATATAAATAAAGAATCATCCTGACTGCTAGTTAGTCAGGCTGAAAGATATTTGACACCATCGTGGCTTTGCTCAATCTTGCCCTAGCCATAATC